CCCCCCCCACCTCCGGCCCTCCATCAGGCAGAAATGGAAGCCTAGCCTGCTTCCTGCCTCCTCCCTGTTCTCTGTCCACCACTCACCTTAGAAAAAGCTGCGTTTCCCCCCCCCATCATCGCCTCTTCCTCCACACACAGGCAGGCGGGGAGGGGGCGGGGGGGCGGTCCAGAAAAGCTAGAATGCACTTCAGGTCATCTCCTCCCGGGAAGGCCACAAACGGCCAGCACCTGCCTGAGCGTGGAACACGTCAAGCCAGACAACAGAACCTTTTTGCAGAAGCGACTGGGCACCCTCCCAGAGGAGAGCCGAGCTGGGCCTGGCCACGGGGGGGGGGGCAAGGGTTTCCAGGACTCTTGTGAGGGACTCTCATGTGGGCAGTATTTGGACCTGGTGATTGCCGGCGAAAGCCCTTGGGAGCAGCTGATGCCCTCTGCGGCTAGGATCCTCACTCAAGAAGGCTGTGGGCCGAGAAAGGAGAGGCACCGCCAAGGGAAGCGTGGCTTCCAGGCCAGAGGATTTCGGCGCCGGCCACCTAAGCGTGGAAGAGTGTTAGCCGTGCCACCTTTGGGAAAGGCTCCCAAACAGGGCCCCCACTGCCAGGGTTCCTGAGCTGGGTGTCCCTCTTGGTTCTGCCAGACCTCTCAGCGGCTTTTAGTGCCACCGACCGTGGCATTCTCCTGGGCCCTCTTTCCGGACTGGGACTCAGGGGCACGGTTTCACAGTGTCTCCGAACCTTCCTGGAGGAAAGGACTCAGAAGGTGGTGCCTGGAAGGGGGGGGGGGTGTTCCTTGTACAACAGCACCCTGGCCATTGGCCTGTGCAAAGGTTCTGTTCTGTCCCCTATGCTATTCAACACCTATACATGAAATGGTGGTGGTTGAGTTGGAGAATTTTTCCAAGAGATGGGATAAAGGAGCTGATTTACAAATTAAAAAGAAAACAGATATATAAATGGGAGAGGGGGGATTGGAAGGATAATACAAAAAACAAGGACCAATTAAGAGGTATTTTTGCAGAAGAGCACGCGGGGGGGAGGGGAAGGATAATACAAAATGGGGGGGTTGGAAGGATAATACAAAAAACAAGGACTGCGGGTATTATTGCAGAAGAAAATTTAAATTGGTGAAATGTTATACAACGAACAATGGTTGAAAGGAGAAAAAACTAAATGATAGGCAATTGAAAAAGTTTGAATGTATCAGTAAAAATATGGAGAATAAGATGAACGGAAAAATAGGAAAGAGAGAATTCGTAATATTTAGAGAATATTGGCACAAGAGGCAGATCAGTTAGGAGAGTTAAAAATAATATGGGTGGCAGAGGTAGGAGAAATACATAAAGAGGAATGGAGAAATATTTGAAATAGAACTGTTTTTAAAATCATGTCAGTCAGAATGAAAGAAAATGGTTATCAAACAATGTGGAGATGGTACTTAACACAGAAAAAACTAAATAAAACAGATTCTAAATATTTCAAGATGTGCTGGAAATGTAATTAAGAATTGGGTTGTTGTTGTTTAGTCGTGTCCGACCCTTCGTGACCCCATGGACCAGAGCACGCCAGGCCCTCCTGTCTTCCACAGCCTCCTGGAGTTTGGTCAAACTAGTCTGTAGCTCCCTTCAAACGTGTCAGGGGCCCTCAGGGGGCCATGTGGGCCCTGTTCAGAATAACTGATCAAAACTCTGGGCTGATATGTTTAGGGGAAGGCTGGTGGTTTTAAAAGGTTAAAAAAGAGTAGTCCTGAATCCAATGGACGAATTGTTGTTGTTTAGTCATTAAGTCGTGTCCAACTCTTTGTGACCCCATGGACCAGAGCACGCCAGGCCCTCCTGTCTTCCACTGCCTCCCGGCGTTGGGTCAAAGTCATGTTGGCTGCTCCGATGACACTGTCCAGCCATCTCATCCTCGGTCGTCCCCTTCTCCTCTTGCCTTCACTTTCCCAACATCAGGGCCCTTTCCAGAGAATCTTCTCATGAGATGGACCCATATCTTCCTGGTTTCAGGCCAGGGTGCAGTACCGATGGCCTGCGCTGGGCTAAAGAAAGGGGGAGCGGGGCCCTCTTGGTTCTCCTGGACCCCTCGGAAGCTTTTGAAACCCTTGATCCTAGTCTCCTCGTGGGCCGGTTCCATAGAACAGAAGGGGCCAGCCCTGGACGACAGGGGTCCCCTTCCTGTCTTTGGACCTGGCCCCGAGGGACCTCTGCTCAGCCTCGTGGGGATTAAGCAGTGGCGGGGCCGTAGGGCTCCCTTCTGCCCCCCCCTTGCTGTTCAATATCAGTATGAAACCACCGGGATAAGTCAATTGGCTGATGGCACTCAGCTCTGCTTTTCTATCTGACCTTTTATTTCTTTTTTTAATCAACTAACAATAAGGTAGGAAATACAAAGGGGAAAAGGGGAAAAAAGCTCTGCTTTTCATGGGTGTCGGCTGAGGCAGCTGCTGGACCCGTGTCTGGAGGCTGCAATGGGCCACTCAATCCTGAGGCTGAACCTTGACCAGATGGAGGCTCTGTGGTTTGGTGGCATCCAGGTCTGGGAATGAGGTAGGAGGCCCGTCCTGCACGGAGCAGGGTGGCAGAGCTTTGGCACACCTGGAGCACCCTGGCCTGGCCTGGCCTGGCCTCCCCTCCCCTGGGAGGCTCAGAGGTCGTCCGCATTGGTATTGTTTTGCATCAGGGGAAGAGACGCTTATTACAGCCTTGGGAGGTTGAGGGCCACGGGCTGTGCAAGTTTTAATGCAATGGTTCTAATGTGCTTTAAATTGACTTTAAATTGTTTTTTAAATATTCTGCTCTAAAATTGTTTACACTTTTGTAACCCCCCCGAAGATTCTGTGCTACAGGATGGCCTTGATACGTTTTAAATAACTAACTAAATAAAATAGCTCTAAGAGCCCTTAATTGCAGCGGGTCTCCTCTTTATGATGACTAAATCCAGATTAACTCATAACTGGCAATTAACACAAATAATTAGAAAGCAGGATGATGGTAGAATCCCTTTCAACTGAGCAGACACTTAGTTGTTATGTGTCTTCAAGAAGGAACCGAATTATAGTACGGCTAATAAGGTTTTCAAGGTGAATGGATTTTTTTTTAGGAAGTGGTTTTACCAGTTCCACCCACACCCTCGTGAGCTTCCATGGCAGAGCCAGGGAACCGAATTCAAGTCTCCTGAGTCCTAGCCTCTCATTCTACCCACTATACCCCACTGAGGATGCGGGGGGGGGACGGACGACAGTAAAGTATCAAGTATTTCCCAATGGACAACGTGAAGGCCCGCTCAGCCGGGGAGGTCCTTCAACAGGAAGGCCGTTCTCTGTGTTGGAGGCCACACGGGCCGATGAGATTTCAGCAGCAAGGGGAGTTAGGTGGCCTTCAGAGGAGGAGGTGCTTCCTAACATGCCCACGGACTCCCCGGTGAAACAGGGTGCTTTCTCATATGGTGGACAGCCTCTCCTCTGGACCCTCCGGTTGCATCCTGCGCTTGCAGGAGTCGGCCTGATCCTGTGATGTCCACGGCCCTTCTTACCCAGAGCCTCTAGTCTCCTTGTGTGAAGCAGCTGCTGGGCAAGGATGTCCCTTGGGGAGGGCATGGGCCAGTCCCACCTTGAAACAGAACCAGGCTGTTCCAAGGCATTGGCGTTCGGCCGCCAGGCGAGGGTGTTCCTTGCAGTGCCCGTCCGTGGCCTTCACAGGACCGGGCCCGGGAGACAGATCTCCTGACTCCCTCCCCCTGCACGGGTGCAAGCGCACCAGGCCCACCACACCCCCAACACAGACCCCGCTCCTGCAACCAGTCTGTGGTTCAGAAAAGGTGGGCAACCCCTGGTATCGCTGCCGGTTGGGCCGGACTCGGCCCGCAGGCCTGGCGTTTGACACACGGGCGCGACAGATTGCAGCAAAACCTTTATGAGTGTTGCAGATCAGGAAGAAGTGTGGGTCCTTCTAGAAGGAGGGGCTCAGCCCTGGATGATCCTCTGCTGTGTGGCCGGGAAGGGGGAGAAGCCAGGAGGGTCTCCCACAGGCAAAAAGGTCTCCCAGAAGGGAGGGAGGGAGTCCTCTCCTCTCCCTCTCGGGGCTCCAGCTGCGGGCAGGATTAAGAGGAGCCCGCTTCGCTTCAGAGGAAGGAGGAGCGAGAACAGCGGTGGTGGAGGAAACATCAGGAATGGGAGACAGGCGGGTGCCAGGCAAGAGCGAGGACTCCGGAGGGGAAGTGGAAGAAGCCCCCCGCCCACCCCCGGGGCGAGAGGAGGAGGAGGGGGGGGCTGCCTGCCTGCCTGCCTGGAGAGAAAGGCCGTCGAGGTTGAGCGGCCCCTGGGGCTGGCCGCGAAGGAGGCATCGAGCCCTCTTTGCTCCAGCCTGGTCACTCTTCGGCCCTTCCGTCCAGCCCCTGCCCTCGGCCCGACGCCCAAGCGGGGCCGCCGAGGAAGGCGGGGGAGGGGGAGGGGGGTCCTCCCGAGGGTCCGGAGGCGCTTCCCCCCCCCC